CCCCAAAACCCCAAAACCCCAAAACCCCAAGCCAGCCCAATCGCAGCCAATAGGAGATAGTTGAAATTTAATCAATATTCGCAAGTACATACAGATAACTACACGATCAAGTCCAAAACTAGATTCTAGTATCTCATTAGCTAGGCATAGTCTATTATAGCGGCACTCATCGGAATCACAAAGACTCATCAGCATCTTCTTTCGGCTACACATGACTGTACATTTTAAGCCTTTTTAGTAACGCTTTATTTTCAGTCTGAACGTGTATTGGATAAACTTTGATGGCGAAGAATCGTATTCTATTCTCTCCACTATAGTATTCAAACTTCCCTTTAACCATGATGTTGAATTGCTTGAATAACAATTTGTCAAAATAGTTGCTTATCTCTTCTTCAGTAGCCCTGTTTCTGAACTCTCTGAACTCTAAGGCAGTCATACCTAAGATGATATAATTAATTGATCTTTTAACTTACCCATCAGTGAGGCTCCGTGTTCTCTAGCAAAGTTAATGTATATAGAATCAGTAAAGTCAGTTATTTTAGCTTAAATCATATAGGTAGGGATGCATGAGTCGTAGCTTTTATTGCAAGCTTCACATCGAAATGTTCCATTACTTTCTTGAACAACTTTTCTCTTGCAGGTATCCTTTGGACAAGCGTTGTAAAAAATCTTATCATCGTTCTTTATATAAGAAACGTAGCCATTTAGATAGAAAAAGTGATGCTGGTCCACATCATTTTCATCATTCAAATTCGCTTGTATCTCACAAATGAACTATTATGATATCATTATTTTGGAAAGGATAAATGTATAATCTGTTAATGATTAAAGAGGATACGTACATTTAGTTAGTTTTTGTTTGGCTTGGAAGAATTAGCCTCAATGATATGAAGGTTTTCAGCTGAGTTAAGACTGTTGTCAGGCTTAATGAGAGAAGTGCTCAATTGCTTGATGTTATGCTGCGATTCATCTCCGTATTGTATCAATCCTTGATACCAGTTTTTAAGTTACCTCGTTTTTGGACAGTCCTCAGGATTTAACTGAATCGTGGTATGATCATCTGAAAGGTTCACTGACTTGCCTCCGTAATCACTAACTCTTCCACCTGTAAAAGATAAAATGTCTCCTTTTTGGAGCCTATCGTTCTTGCTGCAGATATCACCCCAAAGAGTCAAACTAATAGAGCACATTGAATCATCCATTATAGTTATGTATTGACGTGTTCTGGACTTGCTATTCTTAAGCTTGATTTAGTCTGCCATCGATATATCTATAATCACACCTATGAGGTCAACGTTACTTCCTTACTTAAGATTCTCAATAGCTTTAATATAACTATACTCCACATTATTCTTTTTTATGCTACCATTATCAACTGCTTCCTTTATCTAAGAACTTTTTTCAAAAGTAATAGTGAAGTCATTATTAACAGTGGAGAATTTCTTATTGGCTAGCTTGATATTTCCATCATAAAAGTCATAGACACGACCAAGTAGCAATTTATCTTCAAAGAAGTCGGCAGCAACATTAAAAAATGTAGCTTCAATGATAGTTCCATACGTATCAAGTAATTCCATCTTTAATAGCGAGCCACCATTCCTAGTTTGCCTCTTTTCAGATTTCTAAACGATTCTAGCTTAAATCTTCCAGTCTCTAGAGAATGTATTCAATGCTTTGATTGGCATATAATCTGATAGACCCTGAGATTACTATTTCTATTGCTGCTATATCTAGTTTGTATTATAGTTACTGTTTATATTTTTCTATAGTAGCTCATTCTTTTAATGAGTTTTGATGCAATCAAAGCCTTTGTTACTCTTTTAGTTATCATCTTGATTAATTTGCTATTCTTATTTGCTGCTAATTAATGAGCTAGGTACTCTTGCTTAATTTAAGTTAATTAGCTGTTTGCTTGTATCAGATTGATTTACGTATTAATCTCTTGTTTTGCTTTGCTGGAAGTGATTTGAGTCTTGTTTGGAGGATTGGTGAGGTCCGAAGCTAAATTACTCTTGAACGTCTTAACTTAGCAAATTTACACTCTCTGGCTTTTAAAATTAGACTTCATCGATCTCAATAGTCTCAGGAGTCTATATCAATGTAATAAGAGATTTAACTTTACAATTCTTTTGTCAAGGTTTGTTTTGATAATTTGAGGCTATTCTTTAAATATAATCAACCTAATATATAAAAGATAAAGATATTATTTTGACTACATTTATTGTTGGACAATTAACTTTTGTAGATAAGATATTTTGATGACATCCCATAACTTTGGCTTTGGATTCTATAAATAATAGCATTATATTGCATTCTTAAGTTAATCAATAGAAGAATATGATAATAGTAATGCTCTATTATATCTTTTACTATTATATTGATTACTCTTTTCACTTACCATTCTTTCATGTATCTGATTTTGCATTAGTGCTCTTGTTTATAGCTCTCCATCACTGATGTTATACCTAAAAAAAACATGCTTTATCAAGAATTTATAGATGACCTACTTTACTATAACTGCATTAGCTATTTTGTTAGCGTCTAAGGGCTTATTAGGAGTGGACTTGATATTTTCAGGGAATTCCTGAATGCTTACAATCTGAAAGAACAAGTCTCTATCTTTGTACTTTTCCTTATCCTCTAACTCAATAAGCACTTAGATACCGTTTTTAGTCAGTTTGGGAGTAAGACTGCTGTTCTATTTAGGATCATAGGAGGTTCTAGATGAAGGAAGCCCTCTTGTATGATCTTCACTGGCAGTCGTTGAAGTTGAAAAACGATTTGATTACATTTCGCGGAAAGTTTATTAATTCAATTATTTTACAATCACTGAATTCTTCCAAATATCTATATTTTTCATCTCGGGGTTTTGGGGTTTTGGGG